GGTCTGTGTTACTGTAAATAGCCATCTACTTCCTGAGCAGACAGTTGTTTACATATTTTAAAATTGTTTAAAGACAGCAAAACAGATGGTGTACATTACAAATCAGAGAAATGAAAATTAAAACTACAGTGAGATATTAATACATAATCACCGGAATGGCAAAAATTAAACACTGATGATACCAAGTTTTAGCAATGTTGTGGAGCAACTGGAACTCTCATCTGTATTGTTGGGAATGTAACTTCATACAGTCACCTGAAACACTATTTGGCAGTATCAACTGAAGCTAAGCATACACCTACTTTACGACTTAGCATTCAACTTCTAGGTAAGACCTGGGAGAAATGAGTGCTTATGGCAGTATAAAAACATGTTCAAGAGTGTTTACTATAACTTTATTCATAAAAGCAAGAAATGAAGAGTAAACCAAATCGATCAACAGTAGAATGGCCAAATAAAATCATGGCATATTCATGCAAATGAATAATACTAAAAAAGAACACAGTATTGCCACAGGCAAAATATAGTGGAATCTTATCAACAAAATAATGAGCAAAATAAGCCAGATACAAGAGACATACTTTTTGATTCCACATACAAGAGTACATCCTGTGTGATTTCACTTGTACGATTTCATTCAAGAACAAGCAAAGCTAATCTATTATATTAGACTTCAGAATAGTAGCTATCTCTGGGTGGTGGGATTGGTGGTGGTTGGGGTACTCATTGGGAAGCAACAAAAGGGACCCATTAAGGGTGCTGCAATATAGGTACCATATCTTGATTTAGGTGATGATTACAAGTCTTTGTTAGTTGTCATCAAATTGGCTCCAACTCATTGGCAACTTAATGTATAACAGAATGAAACATTGCCTGGTGCCTCACCATTTCATGACTGTTGGTATGTTTGAGTCCACTGTCCTGGCTACTATGTCAATCCTCTTCACTGAGGATTTCCCCCATTTCTCTGACCTTCGACTTTAGCAAACATTATGTCATTTTTTTTGCAATCAGTCTTTCGTGATGATGTGTCCAAGGTGAGTGAGTCAAAGTCTCACCCTCCTTGCTTCTACTGAATATTGTGGTTGTATATCTCTGGTGGCATGTGCCTAAGTCATTTGACTGCTAACCAGAAGGATGGTAGTTCAAACTCACCAGCCACTCCACAGAAGGACTGGGCCATCTACTTCCATAAAGATTTATCACCTTGGAAACCCAAAAGGAGTTGCTATCAGAATCCACTTGATGGCAGTGAGTTTGGTTTTTCAGTTTTATCATAGTTATGAATATTGAGCCACACTTTGAAGTATCAGGATGACTCTCAGCAGCATAATAGATTTATTGATATGTTTGAAGATTCTCATCTGGAAATCATGAGATGCTGTTTTCTCTCAAAAGAGTTAACCCAAGCCGTATGTCCTAACGTTTTCTCCTTCATATATCTGACTTGAGGCTACCTTTACCCCCATACCAGTATGAGGAGAAAATATTTCCTTGTATTATCTTTCTCTCTTCCTACCCTCCCCACCTTCTGGATTTGTTTGAAATAACAGTATTACTATAGGATCACTATGAGTTGGGATTGGTTGAATAGCAACGGGGTAAGGTAAGGGTATCACAGCAACAAAGATTTCATCCTTAAGATTTATGCCCAAATATTCTCATGATAATGTTATTTATAATAGTGGTAAATCAGAAATACTCCAAAAGTATGATAATAGAGACATAATTAAGCAAACCATGAGACTTTTATACAATATATCATGCATAATTTTTTAAAAGGCTAACAAAAATATTTCAAAGACATGGGTAAATTATTATGGCATAATGTTAAGAGAGAAAAAAAGAAGTAGGATAAAATCATATGGAGAGTATGATCCCAAATAGTAGAAATATATGTATAGAAAAAACATTGGAAAAAATCAAACAAAATATTAAAAGTGTTTATTTCTGAGTGGTGGAACTATGAGTGTTTTTATACTGTTCTGAGTTTTCTTGACTTTTGAATCCCGTTATAATTTTAAAAAGCAATTTAAAAATATATGTCACATCAAGTAAAACAACAACAAGAAGTCCTTTGTGTTTCTAGAGCAGGAAAAAAACAGATGCTTCCCAATGCAGGAAGAAATGGTGTGTAGCATGAGATCAGTCACCTTCCCTCGGCTTGGGGATGTAGCGTTAAAATTCTTCTCTCTCTCTCTATTCACTTCTAATCCTGTGGAAATATAGTCAGTAAAACAGAGCTATGCAACCTCCTGATTCTTTCTCTTGAGAATCAAGGGTTTTAAGCATCAAACATAAAATCTAAGGTGAAGCCATGAGGGAAAACACTATCTTCTCATCATTTGTAATTCATCTTCCCTCTCTGGAATAATGCACACAGCTGCAGTCAAGAAACACTCTTCACTAAAGTGGATTATTGCTGAAAAGAAATACAGTGCTACTCAAAGTATGGTTCTGCAACTTCTCCACCTCCTGGGAGCTTCTTTGCCTAGAAAATCTCAGGTCCACCACAGACCTAGAGTACTGGGAAGTCCTAGGGGTGGGGACTAGGATTTGCATTTAAACAAGCTCTCTAGGAAGTCTTACATATACTCAATGTTGAGAAGAACTTCTAAGATTTATATGATCTGGACTCTAGTTAACTTCACTTTAACTCTTAAGAAAAAGAAAAAGAAAAGGGTAGGAGAAAATTTTGAAGGCTAATAAGTAGTGTTGTGCTAGGAAATGCTTAACAACTGAGTGAGTGTCTGGGGGGCAGAGACAGGGAGAAGCCGTCATTTACATTTCTGTATATATTCCCCCATAAGTGACTCTAAGCTACCCATGGGATGTTGCTGAACTTGGGGTTGTAAAGACATGTGCACAGTGGCTTCCACAGTCTGGGATAAGCCAGCGGCACACTATTCCTAAAGATCCTGCTGGAGGTGACAATAATGACAAACCAATTGCTGTTAACTCTGACTCATGGCAACCTCCTGTGTCAGAGTAGAAGTGTGCTCCCTAGGGTTTTCGATGGCTGCTTTTTTGGAAGTATATTGCCAGGGGCCTTTGTTCCAATGCACTTCTGGCTGAAATGAACCCTCCAACCTTTTGGCTAGCAGTCAAGTGCATTACCCACTGGCACTGCCCAGAGGTGATTGTGAGGACTCAGTTATTCATTGTATTTCCTCACCATTCATGAATGGAAACCTCTGTAAAGCTTGAAGTACCGAACGACATGGTCATGTTAAGGCAAGCAGTGTCTGAGATGCAAGAGGGCAAGGGGCAAACGTGATCCCACAAATCCCAGAGAATGATCCATATTGCATTTCTCACAAACTGCTCATGGCATATGAAATCATAAGTTGTAAAACATAAGGCCCATTTTGTTTTCTTTGATCCTGCAAGTTTTTTATTATATTAAATGATCAATAGCAAGAAAACCCATGAGCACTTTCAAATATCTCACTGACAATACAACTTCATCATGCCATCTCCCCTTCAGCTATCTTAACCTGTTAATTGTGAGCTAAAATGTCTCATGAAACGTCTTGTTTAAAAGCCACAGAAAGGCAGTTTTGCCGCGACCTCCCACTAGCCCTTCCATGTAATATTTACTGTTTCCAGTGTATCAGTGTTGGTACACTGACTCAGGAGTCCCTGATTGGCTGCTAACCAAAAGGTGGGAGTTCACTAAGAGATCTTGGAAGAAAGGTTGGTGATCTACTTCCAAAATTCAGCCATTGAAAACCCTATGGAGCACAGCTCCATTCTGATGTTCACGGGTCACTGTGAGTTGATGTCAACTTTATAGGAATTGGTTGATTTTTATGTCTATTCAAGAGAAAAGTTACTTTTCCATCTCTGGTAAATTGCTTGTGTACTTTTCATTTACAAGTTGATAATGCCAAATGACGTTTCCTTTATTTCTAACTTGTATCATGACATCTTTGGCAACACTTTTGTGGTGCTTAGCTGCCCTTCAGTAGATTCTGACTCATGGTGACCCCATATGTGCCCAGAATAGAATTGCTCTATAGGGTTTTCAAAGCTGTGAAATTTTAGAAGCAAATCATCAGGACTGTCTTCAGAGACACTTCTGGGAAGGTCAAAGTGCCACCTCTTCCACTAGTGTTCGAGTGCTTAACCATTTGCGCCACCAGGAGACTTCTTTGACAACAGAAGGTAGTGTATAGCAGGGATGGACATGGACTCCAGATTAAATTGACACTAGGTTCACACACACACACACACACACACACAGACACATACTCTTCATCATCTCCTTCTGAAACTTCAACAAGTTTTTGAACATGCCAAGACTCAATTTTCTCATTTGTAAAATGAGATTATCAGAGTATCTAGCTAGAATTATTGCAGGATATAAAAAGATAATGCAAGAAATATTCTTTGTAATAAGGACTAGCCATTAGTATTAGAGGGAGCGCTGGTAGTGTAGTGCCTAAGGCACTTGACTACTAACCAGAATGCTGGCGGTTCAAACCCATCAGCCACTCCTCAGAAGGAAGATGGGGCAATATACTTCCATAGAGATACTGCCTCAGAAACCCAAGGAGGGGTCGCTATGAGTTGGGTCCGACTCGACGGCACATAACAACAACAACAACATTAGTATTAGAGAGGGTATTTGGTACTATGGGCTAAGTTTTATCTTTCTCAACTTCTTTTCCTTGATCAAACATGATGCAGTTCAACCATCTTTCCTTTTAATATTATCAGATGATATTTAAGATAGAGAAAATTCAGCCTCTTGGGCATTCGTTTGCTATGTAATGGAAAAAAAATAATGAGTGCAAAGATAAACACAAATTCTATGTAGAACGGAAGAAAAAGAGCAAGTTACAGACTGCTGTTCAAGAAGCAAACAGAACCAGCATAAGCAACCAAGCCAAACTTCTGAGCTCTCCATAAAATTGAAGGCAATCACTCCATAATGCCAGAACTCTTACTTTACTTAATATACATAACACAAGCTTACAACAGGAAAAGAAACTTACCCACTAAATTTTCTTTATCCTGCTTCTCAGGGTAGGCCACCCCAGAATCCATCTCATTCTTGAGAAGTTTTATTCTTGGTAAATTTTCATGGGTTTGGAGCTAGACCTGGTCCCCGGCAGCAACTCAGATTTGTCTTGGAGAAGGGAGGAGGAGAAACACAGTGAGAGCAAGTGAGAGAAGCTCCTTCTCTTTAGCGAACACCCCAAAGGAATAGTTTCCCTAGTGATAACATATAAACAAAAAAGTATCTTTCATGAGTTCAGATTGTCCTGGTTCACAGAGAAAATTCAAAAGAATACGACCTTTAGTGGTGTTGCTTCCTGTAAAATATCACTACTTAATTTCCTACATCATTTATATTTTATAAAACATTTTTAAGCACCTTGTGTAATTTGTTCACCACAATGAACATAGGGCAAAAGCAGTCGTCTTGATGTTTCAGATAAAGAAATTTAACCCAGTTCATTTTACACATTGGGTGTTTTGAAACTCAAATTTGTTCATGTCATCATCCTCCTTCAAATAATCCAGTGACTGCCAACTGTCAACATGGTAACGATAAAACTGATCATCCTACAATACCCTGGTAGTCTGGATCCTCTCTCCCTTTCCAGCCTCACTCACATGACATTCCCCTCACTCTCTCAGTATCAGCCATCTTGGCTTTCTGTCAGTCCCTTTAAAGTTTTGTGTGCCCTCCTGCCACAGATCCTTTGCATATGTTATCATGTCTATAATTATTTGGTTAGTATTTGTTTCCTCCTCTAGGCCAGAAGCTGGCAAACTACAGGCCTCCAGCCAATTCAGTCCACCTCCAGTTTTCATGAATTTAGTTTTATTGGAACGCAGCCATGACCATTTCCACCCCCTATTGTCTAAAGCTGCTTTTCTATTGCAATGGCAGAGTTAAGTAGTTGCCATAGAGACAGGATAGCTGACAAAGCCTAAAATATTAACTATCTGATCCTTTTTGGAAAAAGTTTGCTGACTCCTGCTGTATGATACAAATTCCACAAGAGAAGCTACTAGGTCTGTTGTTATATCATTATATTGCCACTTTTAGAACAACGCAGGTACATAGCTGATGCTCAAAAAGTACTTGTTGAGTGAATAAATAAGGGAATAAAAAAAACTTTCAAAGATAACAGATCACAAATGGCAAAGCTTTTTCTTGAATCCAGATCTTGAGTCTCCAGCCCGAGTTCCTTCTTACATCACACCACCTGGAATCAAGGACAACTTTGAATTTATTCCAGTATTGAAAGCACTACTTTGCTACTTTTCTAATAATTTCATCTCTCTGATCTCAATATCCCAAATAATATTTTCTTGGTAACAAAACAAAACTATCATTGATGTTTCCCTCATGATCTTGTCTTTTCTACTCTTTTTTTTCCTTTCAACCATCTAGTTATTTTCTTCTACCAACTTCATCTTTAAAAACTCCCAGATTGTGAATTACTTTTGCCAACTACTTGATATTCTTAATTGCCTTCCCTCATAAACTCAGATTATTGTCACAAGCGTGACTGCTATTCACATTTGGTAATTAGGAGAATTAGCACAGAATACTGGAACTTTGGGAAAGAGGGCCAGGAACTAGAAACATGGATTAACAAATGCACTGTACAGTCAGTGTCTGGATGCTATGGGTACTTTTGTCTCCATTTTTCTCACACTCTTCTGGTTATGGCTCAATGTGGAACAGATGCCAGAGGCATTTAGATGAGAGAGCAGCTCGGGGCTCATACTGCCTGCATAGAAATAAATCCTGGCTCTCCCATGAACTACATGTGTGACATTAGGTGAGTTATTTAACCTTGTCGGATTTCATTTTCTCATCTGTAAGATGGGATGATAACAGTTATCTAGCAGACTTGTTTGTGTGATAATTGTAAGAAACAAATACCTGTAAAATACTCAGAATGGTGACTGGCATTAATGAATGGTAACTATGGAGTCCCTGGATGGTGCAAAGTGTTAGGCACTTGACGACTAACTGAAAGGTTAGAGGTTCATGTCCCACCCAAAGGTACCTCTGAAGAAAAGCCTGTTAATCTGCTTCTGAAACACCAGCCATTGAAAACTCTTCGGAGCACAGCTCTGCCCTGAAACACATGACTCACCATGAGTCAGAGTTGACTCCACAGCAACTGGTTTATTATTATTATTATTATTATTGCTACTACTACTACTACCATGAATGGGAGCTGGGCTATATTTCTCAAGACCCAGTTATTTCCTTTCTAAAATGGGAATGTTGTTTTAATCTTCCTAATTTAGTGTTTCCCTCATGCTTCAAGTGAATGGAAAGTTAATTAGAGATTGACTAGATATCAAAACATCCATCAACTCCATCAACTCTCTTCTCTCCTTCTGGTGGTGCTGTTGTTGTTGTTGTTGTTATGTGCCGTGGAGTCAAATCTGACTCATAGCGACCCCTCCTTGGGTTTCCGAGGCAGTATCACTACGGAAGTAGGATTGCCCAACCTTCCTTCCGAGGAGTGGCTGGTGGGTCTAGTTGGCTAAAAAGTTGAAAATGTGAGGTATCTTGTTGTAAATAAATTCCATTCTGCTGCTTATCAGCCTCTCTTTTACCACCACAGTATTGTCACCACTTTGTCACTAACCTCTCTCAGAGGAAAACTTCCTGTTCCTGCCCTTTCTCATGACCAGACCACACATTCTTTCCCTAGACCTGAAGCCTGTTTTCCTTTGAATCAGCTGCCCCTCCAGGTCATGCAGCCAAGTGTTTGGGAGGTGTTCATTTAGCTGATTTTTAAATACACTTTCCCCTTACAAAAAAAAAAAAAAAAAAACTCACTGTCAATTGAGTCAATTTCGACTCATAGTGACCCCCTTTGGGTTCTGAGATGGTAAGTCTTTATAGAAGCAGATTGCCCAGTCTTCCTTCTGTGGAGTGGCTGGTGGGTTTGAACCACCAACTTTTTAGTTAGCAGTCAATTGCCTTAAGCACTATGCCACCAGAGCTCCTCAGTACTAGCCAAATATCATTTACGCTCCCGCTGTCAGTCACTAGGTACAAGGTTCAAAACAACCATAATGATAATTGCTCCCTGGAGATAGCTGAAAAGAGCCCTGAGGGCACTTGCTACAAATACATCCCCTTGGAAGATAATTACGCAACTGTTTTTCTTCTTCCTGCAAAATGTTCCAAATATCTCAGGCTAGAAAGCAAGCATGGTTTTAACAAGTAATAAATAATACAATCTGAGTCCCTGACTCAGGCCTTCAAGGAAGGAATGAAACATGAGCCCATTTTCAAATGTTTCCTCCTCCTTTATAATTAATGGCCACATCAATGGATTATTTTTCCCCTCCATCCTGGGAGACCATGAATCTCTTGAAGGTGCTACCAATGAAGATTTTTCTGTGTGTTTTTGTACTATCAATTCCTATACTAGGGAAAGTCCTGGAATGAGGAGAGCTATGCATTTAAAGGAGTTCTTGGGTGGTATAGTTAACACACTTGGTTGTTAACAGAAAGATTGGAAATTGGAGTCCACAGAGACACCTTGGAAGAAAGGCCTGGTGATCTATGGCTGAAAAATCAACCACTGAAAACCTCGTGGACCACAGTTCTACTGTGACATCCATGTGGCTGCCATGAGTTGGAGTTGACTCCATGGCAACTTGCTAACTGGTATTTGTTTAAAAGCTCTAATCCTATTGACAAACAAGATGTCTGTCCCTAAATATGTCAATTTATTTTTCCCAATAGTTCATTTTAGAGCACAAATCCTATATGGAAACCATCCATTCCAGCCTTGGCCCTGTCTCCTTTCCCAAGCTTCTGGTTGCAGGAACACTCTTACTCCAAACATTATCAACCATCCTTTCTTGTTAAGATGCATGAATATATTCCAAAACATTTGATACTCTCTTAGGAAATCATTCCCTTTTCTTTTCTCTGACTTCATTAACTTTCCAGCAATATACATTATCCAGTCCATGTTATTCATTATGTTCTACCCAATTCTTGAATTCCCACATCTTCATATACCGAATTCAGTCTGCAGAACTGAGGACTCTTAATTGTCACAGCTCCCAAATCTGCTACTCTGACCTAGCCCTCTCACCAGAATAATACATATCTCCCACTATCAGCTGACTAAATATCTCTACCTGGATGTCTGCATAGTCCCTCTACCCCCAATTTAATACGCTAGCCATTACAAATCAATCTATTGAATTTAAAAAATCGATTATGGAAATTTGTTGATACATACATCCAATGAATATATGTATATAAACAATGTGTGTATATTTGAGTAATAACAATGAATCTACCACGCAACCTCTGAACCCAAGGTCCCATTCCCCACCTTCCTGTAACCTTAATCCAGAACTTCATTTAGTAATCTCTTGCTTCTAAACTAGTTTTTAGTCATGTATGTATGTACATCTAAATAATGTATTTAGTTTTATTTGATGTTAAGCCATATTAAAAAAAATACTTATGTGATTGAATGTGATTAGAATCTATATTTCTAATACCCATGTTGTTGCATTAAGCTGTTATATGTACATGCAACATGATCTACATACTTATTTCCAAATTTTTATTATTACAAATGATGCCACCATAAATATTTTTGTACATGTTCTTGGTGCATATCTTTAACAGTTTCTCTAGCTCCTAGACTCAAAGCATGGAACTGCTGACTTCATTCATGTCAACTTTACAAGATTGTTGGGAACAACTCTGCAAATTGTTTTCCAGAGTGGTTTATTTAATTTCCTCTTCTACTAGGAAGGTTGGGCAATCTACCTCCATAGTCATACTGCCTCAGCAACCCAAGGAGGGGTCACTATGAGTCAGGTGCAACTCAATGGCACATAACAACAACAACAACACTAGCAATGTAAAAATGTTCCTTTGCTCTGTCAACATCCTTAATGGCTCTTAATAGTTAGACCTTTTATACTTGACAAAAAAAGTGGCTGTAAAATTGTATTTTAGTGTTGTCTGAATTTAGATTTCCCTTACTTTAATGAAACTTGAGTAACTTTGACAGGTTATTTACAATTCACATTTTCTCCTCTGTGAATTGCATGTCCATGTCTTTTGCTCATTAAGGATGGTGGCTTTTACTTTCTGATTTGAGGGGAGTTTTTTATGTATACTTGATCTCTGATCCTTTGACAGTTACATGTGTTGCAAATACATT